TATTAGTTCGTCTTTTTTCATATCCTTTGAACTTTAGGGTTTTGATTAGTACTTAGAAGATCAATTGTTAGCTCATTTCGTGAGATGTCGTATGGACATTTTCATACCTTGAATTAATTTTACGATTTTCTATTAGATTTGGTTGTTTTTACATATTTGGGATTTTGAGACATTATGTTTCCTTATGGGACTTTAGAACTATTTTTAACAAGTATTATTTTTATTGGAATTTGTATTTTACTATTGAGTTACACATGTGACAACATGTTGTAAGTTAAATCTGTTTTGGGTTTTAATTTTGCTAAAAATCTTAGAGAAATACATGTTTTCAATTAATTCAATCTAAAGTGATCTCCAAAATTTGATCATAACATCTCAAGGGTCCATTTGTTTCACTGAAAACGTTTTTCGGAAAATGAAATCTGTAAAATGAATTACATTTATGGAAAACATTTTCCAGAAAACATTTTCTAGTATTTGGATGGTACATTGTAAAATGTTTGACACTGTTTGGTTAATTTTTCTGAAAACAGTTTTCATAATCTGTTTTTAATAAAGGAACATACATATTCGATATGTTTTATTTTATATTTTTTAAGGTTCATTTTTATATATAATTTTTATAAAATTTGTATTTTTATAAGTACGACAAACTAAATTTTTAGATAATACTAATAATTTATGTTGATGTGTATAAATACACTATTTTAGTTTAAAATCTTCATGATGCTTATTCATTGTATTTTTAGAAATGAATTTCAACGTATAATTAATATTATGTAGGTTTATTTGAAAAAATTAATAATTGATTAAAAATATATTAAAAGTTTTAAAATATGTAGGTTTATTAATAGTACACCACATTAAAACAACAATAGTGCATAACTTCTCAAAAATATTATAAGAATTATTTCAGAATATAACAATTTCTCAAAAACAACAAATAAAAGTCTTAAAAGAACAAAAAATGTACTGAACATTTCATTAACCAAATCATCACATTCAAGATCCAACATCACATCAGATGATCTATATTTTGCAAGAGTCTCCAAAATTACAACTCCCCTTCCAAATGATGGACCACTAGTATCGCTCAATCCATTGAAAGTTCCAACAATCAAGCTAAAAATATTCTGAAAGCATGCCACAAATCAATCACCAGAAGTTCAGTTGAAAATTTATTACTTTCTAAGAAAATCAAGACCAATCGCTCCACTAACTAAGAACGACCATGCACCTGAACTCAGTGGATCTTCTTCTTCGACATCAGTTGTCAGTGACGCATCTTCTTCTTCGACGAAGATCTTTATGCCTTGGTTTTCCGATTCACGCAAGCATCTCATCGCCAATACATCTTCTTTTCATTGGGCTTGCTGTATTCTTGCGAACAAAACATTTTTTCCTACCTTCCAGACCCGTGGCCTTACTTCGTGTTTTTAGTTTTTGACCGGACATCTACGGAGTTCATCTGTCTTCAGGTTCAAGATCTACCTGTTGGACTCTATTCATTACCTCCACCCTTCTTTTTTCGCTGGCAGTAACAACCTCCATCGTCGGGCGCAACCATGATAGTTCCGTATAGTCCCTGGGTTGTTTAACTTTATTAGTTTTTCTTCATGCCGGGTGCTGGAATCCCTCCCTTCTGTCCAGCAGAGATCGAAGGGCCAAACTCCTCCATCTTCTGCATCCGCGCTTTCTCCCCCATCTCTCCCTTCTCATCATGACGAGGTTCGTACTATCTTCATTATGGGTCTGCCTGTAGATGTCAAAGAGAGAGAGCTGTAGAATCTTCCGAGATGGTTTCCAGGTTTTGAAGATTCTATAAGGGAGGAAAGCCTAAGGGTTTCGCTCTCTTCTCAAATGCAGATTTTGCAGTTGCTGCCAAGGATGCTCTTCAGAAAATGGTTTTTGATTCTAAGTTGAAGTCCCTCTTGCACATTGAGATGGCTAGGAAGTATCTTGTTGTTAAAAAAGGTATAATTAATAATTTTGATGCTCTTGTTCCTTCAGTACTGTCATTGCCAAATCTAGCCTCTTTAGCATCTCCAAGTATTCATGTGCCTGTTAAAACTGGGTGTTGCGACGAAAAGTCTGCAATTGATGGTGTCTACGAGGGAACCAGGGAATCTACCACAAAGGAGTGCAATGTTGATAAGTCTGGATGTTACATGTTTTTTGTTGAAAATTTACCAGAGAATATCCATTAGAAAAGGTTTGGATCTTTATTTTGCTCCCATGGTCGGGTTCTTGATGCTTTTATTCCAAATAAAAGAAATACAAAAGGAGTTCGCTTTGGTTTCATTCGCTTTGCTACCAAGGAGTGCGATCTCAAAAATGAATGGCTCTTTTTATCGATGGTAGCAAAATTGGTGTTTCTTTTGCTAAATTCAAACCTCGTCACTCTTATTGGAGAAAGTCTTCCACAGGTGTTCTCCACAAGTCCGGGATGGAAGATGATTCAAGAAAGAATCATTATAAAGTTGAAGGTGTTATTGATGAAGAAAAACTTCAGGTGTTGAGTAATTGTCTAGTGGGGTGGTGTAAAAACTTCATCAAAATCAGTCATCTCGCTAGAAAAATGCATATGAAGGGCCTCACTGGCTTCTCCTTAATGAGAGCTGCTGGAAATGCAGTATTAATAATTTTCGAAGACTCTGGTTCATTGAGAAGTGTGAAGAACGATAAATCAGAGACTCTTGCAGAGTGGTTCTCCATAATCGAAGCTTGGTTAGAGAGTTTGGTATTGGAGTGTCGCCGAGTATGGTTAGTTTGCGAGGGTGTGTTCCATTTCAAGCATGGAATTGGAATACTTTCAAGAATATTGCTGATAGTTGGGGTCAGTTACTAGCAATCGATGAAAGCTGTCAGTCATCATCATCTTTTGATCGGGCAAAAATTCAAGTCCTCGCAAAGGCTGGTGCGAGAATTGATGCGACGTTGGAATTGAAGGTTGGTGACAACTTCTTCAAGATCATGGTGCATGAGATAGAGCCTTCATTCAAGCCAAACTCTTGGGCTCCTGAAGAAGACGAATCTCATTAGATCTCGTCTTTCTATTTGTGGTTTGATTTAGTTTATATGGTTGCAGGTGTTGCTTTTCTTTTGTATTATGTTCTGTTGCGTTGTTTAAATACTACTTGTTGGAGGTGTAATTAGAAATAAGGTGATTCGACTGTGACTTTGGTTGAGGTTATATGAGGTTAAGGTGTTTGTTGTAATGGTGTATATCACCATAGGAGGATATTTCGTGTAATCCTTTGTATTGGGTATTATTATTAATAAACTTTGAGGTACTCTTTTCTTCATTCCAATGTTCGTTAACATACTTCTTAGTATGTGAACGAATACGAAGGGAGTTTTTAATGAGACCTCCAACTTCTATAAAAAAAAAAGAAAAAGAAAATCAAGACCAAAAATAATAAACCTTCATGAAAGAAAAAAGCACCTTTAGAATATCATCACTATAAGGCGCTTCAGGCGCAATTATCCGAGTTATCTCACAAATACAGGTTATAACTAGAAGTTTGGCTTCCTGATCTTGATGATTCAGCAGTTCTGGCTTGATAATTGCATTAATCAGAGGCTGCATTGATTCCACTATTGATGATGGTGGAGAATGGTCAATCTCAGAGAGACATGTAGCAGCTTAGCTTGCTGCGGATTAGACGGAAAACATTCATGATATATGCCAAATAACCAAATTAAAAGACTACAACTGATTTTGATACACATAATATATATGAATTCACAAGTTCAATCATCTAACAGATGAACAAGATTCATGAAGTAATACATATTACCATAGACCCGACTGTCCAAGCACATAGGTCTGATGCTAGATGTGTGTAAGTAAAATGATAAAGAACATGTGAAATAAACAAGAATAAAAGAAAATATAGGAAAACATCTTTACTACCATTAAGAATTATCAACCAATGCATGGGTCGTATCATGCCTTTAAATAGTTTGGAAAAATTAAATGCACAATCAGTGATTCAAACAAACTCAAAAGATAAAAATATCTAAGCTTTTCACTAAACCACCAATAAATTTGAGTCCATAAAATAAAAGAACTACCATCTTTCATGAATAACAAGATATCTCTTCATGTCATAACAAGTTCACCATTAGAGATTCCAAGCACCATGTGAGACCAAAATAAAACCAATCCATATTCGAAAAAATATCTTTGGTCTATGTTTGGATAATACAAGAATTCTTTAAATAGCTAGTTGCTATTGATTGAGTAAACTAACTACTCCATTGACAGACATTTGTTTTATGAAGGAAACTTAATCATTCACAAACAGAAGGAACAAAACAATGATGTTTAGTCAAGTTCACTGTTGAGCAACGGGCATTTGAGTTTGCAAAAAGTAATTCAATGTAACAGAAAATGAATCAAGGGAGGGGTGAGAGTAAGACAACATTTTACATGGATTGACATTGGTAAAGATTAGTTAGCTTCCATAGAGCATTTTAAGGATAAAACCCACAAGCTAACAGAAGGTAGAAATTTAATTAATGTAGTCAATTGAACTAATTCCAAATCTAGGTTGACTTCTTTTCAAGGTTGATTATGTTTCACCACAATACCCCTTAAAGCCCTTCGCAAACCATGATGACAATTCCAAACTATAAGGCCAGACCCACAGCACACATTTTTTGCCTTGTTACATAAAACGAGTGATTGGTGGTGTAATCCATGAAAGGCACCAAAACCAAAGATTTACGGCATACTTATGTTCTTGAAGTATGGAGGTTATCGATCATTAAAATTGTAGGGGGAAAGTCAAACACAGTCCAGGTCCCGAGGCTAGCACATTGCAGCTTGTTTAGGTCCTGGTTCACTGCCTAGAAGAACCATAATGTTTGAAGATACAACTACTGGGACAAGAATAATAGAACATTCTAATACGGTAACTAATAGCTTGAATTAACTCAAAAGAACAGTTAACCCAAATATTATATCATGTAGCAAATTAAGGGCATACAATTCAAGTGGAAACTCAAGTTGGCAGGAAGTATGAGTGTGGGTAGCATACCACAACAAATACTCATAGACTCACTCAACCAATGCATTCACCTCGCCAGGTCAAATTTTCATAAAAAACAAGTGTTTTATCCATTTAACCAAAAAAAAAAAAACACAAAGGAAAAAGGGACATACCGAAGTAGAAATTGTCTTTTTTGCATTGGTAACACGAGTAAGGCATCGATATTTGATGGGTTGTTGAGCAGCCTTCAGTTTGTTCCTTTGAACCTTCGACTTCAAAGATGCTAATGAAGATGGAAAACTAAATGCATTAATGAAAATCTAATATAGAAAATATCCAAGAAAAATAATGCCATGGTTGGAAACATGAATTTCAAAATTTATATCTGAATTCCATTTGTAACATAAATTGAATTCCACGGTTGGAAACATAAAATTCAAAATTCAGATTTCAAAACAGAACATGCATACATTATGTGTAAATTGCAGAGATCCAACATGATTGCCATAAATTTCAGTCTTACAAATATCAATCCTATTTCTGAAATCCAAATCCACTGTTTGAAATTCAAGCTCCCAAAACCTAAAGAAATCGAGAAATTCGTACATCGTTTAAAAGTAACCCAAACAGAGCCGGTCTCAGTGCTTCGCTCAAACATGCTCGTAAGTTCATTAAGAAAAGGGTCTGGCTGTAGAAGAACCTTAACGAAAAACAAAAAAAAAAATCAGCATAAATCATATCAATAAGATCAAATGCCCAAGAAATAAAAACGAACATAAATAACGAAATTACAGCAAATCAAAACCACCAAACATATATACTAAGAGGGGAAAAAGCTAAACAGAATTCAAAAGCGAATAATAACCTTTATGATTATGCAAATGCCTAAAAAATGTTCTTCAATTTGTTGAATTCAAAGAGAGAGAGAGAGAAACGAAAGCCCATAACATTAAATAAACGAAAAAGGATTAAAAGGGATGAGGAATTACCATGATTAGGTGAATGACGCCCTTGGCGGATGAAGGAGATTCCAACTTGGATCCCAGCTCCATGAGCCGCTCTTCCAGCTTCTCCACCATTTGCTATCAGTAATTTCTGTTCGCAAGGCAAAGCAGCAGCAGCAGCTTCGTCTCCTGCTCACTCTCGCTATGTAGCTTTCAGTATCAGTTGAATGAGTCGCGGACTCAATAAGATGAGAGATAGAAAACAAAGAGGGGAAAAGGGGTTTTGTTTTTTATGGCACTTGCTCTCGCCCCGCCTCTGGGTTTCGGGTTTGAGGCTTTAGAAAGGTCACTGGATCGATCGAAATTCAATGTGGAGGAAGGGAAGATGAAGGAAAATGACTTACCTTTCTCAAACGGTAAGTCATTTTACGGTAGAAAAGGAGTTTTACGTTGACCGTAACACTAAATCCATTTCTTATTTTGCGGGAATCAAATACGAAAAAAAGGGAAAATATTCAGTAAAATCCCCCCTCCCAACTAAACAGACCTTAAATAGAATTTATAGAAATTATATTTAATGGTATTATAGAAATGACCATCCAGCTCAGTTGGTAGAGCACAAGGTTCTTAATCATAATTTGGAAGTCTCCCACAGAAGTTGCTCTCAACCTGGCGTTGGGGCAGCCTACTATATTACCTCCCCTATCCCATTACATATGGGAATAAGGGTCAGCTAATTTTTTATATTTAATGGTATTAGAGTACATGTTTAACTCTTAGACTATATTACCCGTAAAATTTATATTGTTTTGTTAAATAATTTTTGCATGCATAGAAAATGTTTTGAGTTTGGAAAATATTTTCTAAAATATATTCTAAGTGTAAATTTTGATAATATTTTAATCTTATATGTTTTCAAATATGGAATTTATATACGAATTACTTTGATTCGAAACTCTAGTACCAAATTTGACTTTAGCTTCTGTTTATATTTCATCTCAAACTCAGTAGATAGTATGCCACCCCATAGAGATCGACATCCTTCTACACCATCTCATAGAGGTAGTAGCGTTCGAGGACGTGGAGGTCGAGCGATTGTTATTGATATGGATCCTCCTGCTCCTAAGGTTGAGACTTATGAGGGGCGTACTCAAGCTTCTAATTCTTCTTATCTGACAGAGAATGTGTATGTCACTGAGAGCAGAACTACGAGTGATATAGATGTTGTTGTTATTGGTCGAGTAATGTTACACTTACTTTAGAGATCAACTGGAGTTAAGCTTGAGGATACTGCCATTACTATATCATTGGTTATGTTGCGTAATGGAGTAGAGTATTTCAAAGGGCTCACTCGAGCATCTCGTCTATTGGAGAGTACTGGATTGAGGAGATCAAGTGTCTTATCAATGTGATGAATTATGCTAAGGGACATAGACTTTAGGTAGTCATTTCGTTGCTAAAAGATGATGCCCTGAGTTGGTGGGATTCAATTATGACTACTCTAGTTGATCAACTGACTTATGAGTATATCCATAGAGTCTTTTGGAGTCGATTTATTGGAAATTGTTATCTAAAAGAAGGAAAATAAGAAATCATGGATTTGAAGTAGAGTAATATGACAATTTAGGATTATGAGTTAGAGTTTCTACATGTCAGTAAGTATGCCACTAGACTAATCATTGTTGAGGTATATAAGTGTTTATGGTTTGAGAATGGTCTACACGTTAAAATTTGTAGTAGGATAGCTACTCATCATGAGCGAGACTTTGTTAAGCTCGTGGATCGAGTTAAAATTGTCAAGGAGATAAAAAATCTTAGTATGGAACAACGCAATCACAAATAGAAGCAATCAGGTTTTGATAGTCCTTCTAGTTCTTCCGTTCATCCTACAAGCGATTGAAGGATGATACTTCGATATATGAATCTAGATCTAGACTTAATGATTCTTCTTGTGGTGGTCAAAGAGGAAGGGTGTTTCTTCTACACATCGAGTTATTCCTACTTGTACGTTATGTAGTCGGCAGCATGATGGAGAGTGTCGTAGGAAGTTAGAGGCATGTTTCAGGTGTGATTTTATTGAGCATTTTTTGAGGGATTATCCGCTGCCTGCTTCGACATATCAGACTCCAACTCATTCTCAAAGACCATCTCAGACACCGAGGGGTCGTAGCTAGAGCAGGCTTGCATCATTTGGATTTACACTAGGTTCTTCGATTAGGGGGTGATATGTCGAGTGTAAAGGTTATGTGAGGTTAGAGACTAGACAACCTACCATTGTTTATGATACGAAACGTAGTGAAGATCGTGATGAGTCAGATGTCATTACAAATACTTTTTACCGTTCATTCTGTTCATTATTTGTATTGCTTGATGGTGGGTCTACACGTTCATACGTTGTAAGTTTTGTTATTGGGAAGATTGAATTTCAATATTAAACCATCTAGAGTCTTAAATATCACTTTATTAAGTTTTATGATACCCTAAATTACTAGATACTTCACTTAACATTTCAATTTAACAATATTTAACATTTAATTACGTCAACGTGTACTTTTTAACACATAATACAATAGAAAATATGATTTCATACTAAATCAGTATATTTACAAAAATTATACTTATGATTTTTACTATACATTCAACACAACTAACCTTAAAGCATCATGTAGTCACTTCATGCATGACTTACTAATTTAAGCCGCCATTGAGATCATCTAAATATACTTATCTATTATCACAACCAATATTTGCGTGCAAGACTTAACCTAACAAGACGACTTGAGTAATCAATTATATAAACTTAAAATAAAATGACTTATTAAATATTTTATCTTAACGATATGAGAGTCTATTTTAATTTTGATCTGACAAAAACTTAAAAAACTATTAGATCAGTAATTTTTAGAGAGGATAAATCCCTTCCAACTCTCTGCATGACTCCATCCATGAACGTATCTCATTTATGCTTTTATTATAAAAAATATATTTAAAATTTAATTGTTAAATTTACCAATATAACTAGAAATATAATATATATAAAATTTTGAATCAATATGATATTTTTCTCATATCGATTCAAAAAAATATTTTTATTAATATATTTTGTTATTAAATACTTTTATATCAAATAAATAATTATAAAATATTAATTTAATTTAAAATTAACGTAAAAAATTGAGATGAATAGAACATAAAATTTATCGATGCTAAAATTAAAAATTATTAATCATAGAAATTTATATAAAAGTATGTAAACAAGAAAGGCCAGATTGAATATGGACTCAGTTTTGAGCCCAAACTATAAAACCCAGATAGAGACCCCTGGTCTTCATACAAATGAAATTTCAAATCCACCAAACATTAAGTTATCCTTTCTTTATAATTTAGTTCAACAGCGACAAATTATCAGAAGAAAAAAAAATCAACAGCGACAGGAATTTGCTTTCTAAGATATTCGTTCTGGATCCGAAATTGAGACCCTGAGATTTTGCAGTGTCGAGTTTCGGGAAAAAGAACCAAACTAGCAATGGCGGCGTTTATCAAGCTCGAAGATTCTCCTATGTTTCAAAAACAGGTAACTCCGGGGGTACAACATTCTTTAACATTTGTGATTCTGGAATTATATTTGTTTATTTATGTATTTTTTTTTCGAATTCGTTTGTTTTTGTCAATCAATCGTGCGTGAATCCGTTTCATGATTTTCTTTTGTTTACCGAATAATCAAATCTTCATTGAATCTGCGTTGATTAGCAGTTTGCCATTCCATTATACTTTATTTCCGAAAAGTAAACCTGTTGTGTTTGCTGATTGAACAGGTATGTTCTCTAGAGTCCATGGCTGATGAATTGAAAGGTCGCTGTCAAATGCTGACCCAAGGAAGTATAACGTATAGGTATGCATTTTTTTCTCATTCTATTTTCACTTATTTATTTACTCCTGCAAGAAATGCTTGGATTAAATTATTTTCTGTTGTAATTTATGGAGATTTATGATTTCTGACCAGTAAGTTTCATTCTTAGTATATTAGGGCTGTTCTGATTGATTGCCTTCTCTCGCGTCGCTTCCTCACCATAATAACTGATAACTATGTTGCTTATTTTTCTTTAATGACCATTTATGCATGAATTTCTGAATATATTGAAAAGCTTTTAGAAGAATGGACAAATATGTGGCGGATGCATACCCTATCTACACCCATACTCAAGTTTGAGTAACATAGATTAACAAGATATTTTAAATGTGCCGATCAATTTCTTAGCAAGCTTGGGACTAGATTTTTGGTTCAAATTTTGGTCTATAATATAAATGCATCTTTGTTGTCTTATTTTCATTAGCATCTAACCTTTAATTTGTACCCTCTTTGTGCCTGTTATATAATTTAAGCTGTAATAACAAATTTTAAAAAGTTTTATTGCTAATGAGGCCTAATATTCCTATAAAAAAAGTTTTATTGCCCAAAACCAATAAAATGATCTAATATCTCTCACTCTTTCTCTTCACATATATATTTATATATTTATTTTGCTATATCTTTATTTCATTTGCAGGAACAACAGCTCTTGGCTCTTGGAGAAGCATATAATGCAGACAATTGCTTTGCTGATTCTTTAGAAGCATTTGGTTGCGGACAAGATGATCCTATTAGTGTGTCCATAGGAGGTAGCCAATGTCTTCTATTTAATTTTTTTTGACTACATCTCCAGTTAGTTGAGTTGTTTTTTTCCTAGTTAGTGCCAGGAACCTTTTGTTCTATTGTTACCAGTTTTGCCAATTACTGGATATGAATGTATATCTGCATTATACGCTGCATGTATGTGTGTTTCTGACTTCTGATTAACATTTCTTGTGTAAACTACTGTATATAATCAATGATAGAAAGCCAAAAGCCATTCGACATTTTTTCCCTTTTGCCATTTTGCACAACAAATTCTGTTAAACGATGATTGTTTTTTTCACCACTTGAGTTTCACTTATATCCATATGTTCATCTTGTTACAGTATAATGTTTTTAAATATAAAGGGAAAAAAATGTTAGGAGATCTAATTGGGTGGGAATGAAGTTAGTTTTCAGATAACTTGATGAACATTTAGATTATGTACTCTTTTTCAGAGTGGTTGATTGTAGGCTTGAAGCCATATATTTGACCTTTTTTTACTTTAAAGGTAGAGTTCTTGGGTCTGAAGTATGAGCAAGGTTAGATCATAAGCGGATACATCTAGTTCTCCAGCTTATCCCATGTTGGAATTATAGAGATATGATTTGTTATGATTTGATTTCATTCCTTTAGTTAAGGGATTCTGTAAATATATTTATACAATCCCTTATTTTAAGGGATCACATCCTAAGATTAGTATCTTTCCTTTCTTAAGTGTTTCATACTTTAGAGAGAGAATTTGCATATAAAGATGTAATTTGTCCTATTGAAAATAATAAGATTACAGAGAATTACTCTGATTTCTACATGGTATCAGCTTGGGTTACGGTTTCTTTCCAACCTAGACCATGTCCGCAACTTCTTCTCCTACATCTCCTTCGTTAACTCAGGAGATCATTTCAAATTCAGAAAATCTTTCTGATTCTAACACTCAAACAGATTCATTCGGTCTAGTTATTATATGCCATCGATTGAATGGCAACAACTTTCTTGAATGGTCCCAATCGGTTAAGATTTTTCTCTTAAGCAGAGAAAGATTGGGCTATGTTACTGGTGAAATCCAGAAGCCTGCTGCGACTGACAATGTTTTTTCTAAGTGGATGCGTGACAATGGTCAGGTTATGACTTGGCTCCTCAATTCCATGATCCCGAGTATCAGCAGAAATTTTCTTCTGTACAACACAGCCGCTGAAATCTGGAGTGCAGTCCGCGAGAAACATACTCTAGCACTGATAATATTGCCGAGTTATATCACATTGAAGATCAAGCAACCACTCTTAAACAGGGAACCATGCCTGTCACTCTCTACTACAATACATTAACCGGCCTTTGGCAGCAATTAGATTTGTATGCACAACATGATTGGGCAGATCCAAGAGATGCTACCCTTTACCAGAAAATTGTAACTCAGCGAAGACTTTTTCAATATCTCCAAGGCTTAAACAAGGATTTGGACGAGGTTCGTGGCCGAGTACTGGCTCTTTCCCCTCTTCCCTCCCTTCGAGAGACTTTCGCTATTGTCAAGAAGGAAGAAAGTCACCGGTGTGTGATGCTGCCTGATGAACCATCTTCTACTCCTGAAGGATCTGCCTTACTTGCTCATCAATCATCTAATACTTCGAAACAGGGGAGACCTTGGTGTGAACATTGCAAAAAGCCCGGCCACTCCAAAGAGAAGTGTTGGAAGGTTCATGGTAAACCTCAGGACTGGAAGTACAAGACCTCTCAAGATAATAAATCTAGCCTAGTCGCTGCCAACTCTGTCACTCGCTTCACCAAAGAACAGGTTGCTGAACTTCAGAAACTGTTTGAAAAGTTTCAAGGGCCTTGTGAGAGTAATCTGGTCATAAAAGAACCAGAAGGTAACCCTTATCCTACAACTTTTTTATCCTCTCAATTGACTCCTAATTGGATCCTTGATTCTGGTGCAACAGATCAAATGACTGGTAACAAGGAGTTGTTTTATAATTTTTTCCCAAACATCGGTAAGGCAGTCAAAACGGCTAATGGTTCCATGTGCAAAATAGGTCATGGCACTGTGGTTCTCAATTAACATATGACACTTAAAAATGTTCTCTTTGTACCAACTCTGGCTTGCAATCTCATTTCAATTTGTAAACTTTCCATCGACTTGCACTGCTTTGCAATTTTTACTGATATTGACTGTACTTTGCAGGCATTGAACTCGAAGAAGATGATTGGTAAGGCCAGCTTGCAGAATGACCTCTACATCCTCCCTTTATCTACTACAACTGAGATCTTTAAATCGTTCACCGCTTTAGAAAAAAATGATACCGTTATGCTATGGCACTTTCGTTTAGGCTATCCTAGTTTCCATTATCTTGCAAAGTTGTTTCCTGCTCTATTCATTAATAAAAAGCCAATTTCTTTTTCTTGCAAAGTTTGCTCTCTTGCCAAACACACTAAATCATCTTATTCTCCTTCTAAATACAAGCCTTCTCACCCTTTTGCCTTGATCCACAGTGATATTTAGGGCCCTTCTCGGGTGAAGAATGTTGATAATTGTAAGTGTTTTATCACTTTCATTGATGATCACAGTAGGATAACTTGGACTTATTTTCTCAAAGATAAATCCGAAACTGTTGGTGTTTTTATCCAATTTTATAACATGGTTCTCACTCAATTTGGAACCAAAATCCAGCTCTTTAAATCTGATAATGACAATGAATTTTTTGCTAAGTCTTTGGGTGCTTTTTTTAGGGAAAAGGGTATAGTTCAACTTAGTTCTTGTGTTGGAACCCCACAGCAAAACGGCGTTGCCGAAAAGAAAAATAGACACCTCCTTGAAGTTACTCGTTCACTTTTATTTACCACTAATGTTCCAAAATATTTGTGGGGGGAAGCCTTATTAACTGTCACATATTTAATCAACCGAATGCCTAGTAAGATTTTACACTTTAAAACACCTCAATCTATATTTTTGCAATACTTTTTCACATTTTAAACCTATATCCATTCTACCTCTTAAAATCTTTGGTTGTACTGTTTTTATCCAAAACATTGCTACTAATAAGTCCAAGTTAGATCCTAAGTCTATAAAGTGTGTATTGGGTGGGTATTCTTCACTCAAGAAGGGTTATAAATGCTATCATCCTCCTAAAAGATTTTTCACCACTATAGATATCACTTTTTATGAGCAGGATTCCTATTTCACTCAGGCTGAAATTCAAGGGGAGACATGGAGGGATTTTACAGGATTTCAAATCGCGGTCGCAGTCGCGTTTACGGTTATTTCGGATTTACCGTGATTGCGGCCGTCGCGGGTAACTCGGACGGCGGCGAAACCGCTATATCGCGGTTGAAATCACGATCGCGGACCATTTTTTAAAACCCTGAAATTTTCATCCATATCAGGTATCTCCACTCACTTTTCATTCTCAACCTTTAGAATTGCCATCATCCCTGTCTTTACCTATAGATTTGTCACTTGTAACTACTTCTATTGATCCACCTGTAGTACCTATCACTACTTCACCCATACCCACTTTAAATACCCTTCCTGAAAATACACATACTCTCATTTAAAATCTTCCACAAAAAACAATCAAACAGCTCCGTTTCTATACAAGGAAAAGAAAACATATTCCTGAGGCTGTTTTGCAATCTGATTTTTGCCGAGAATTGGATTTGGGTCCAACTGCCGAAATAGAAGAAGAAATCAGTAAGTCTACTTCCACTACTCTAGATGACTTCCCTATTGCTATTAGAAAAGGGGTTAGACAGTGCACCAAGCATCCTATTGAAAAATTTGCTGGTTATAATTCTTTGATGCCTTCTTTTCAAGCATTTACAACAACCTTGGATAAAGAACAGGTTCCCACAAGCATAACTGAAGCTCTAAAGGATTCTAAATAGAGAAGGGTTGTTGAAAAGGAAATTTCTACACTAGAGAAAAATGCTACTTGGATTGTTACAGACCTTCCTCAAGGAAAAAAGGATATTGGTTGTAAATTGATATTTGCTGTAAAGTATAACTCTAATGGCAGTATCCAATGATAAAAAGCGAGACTAGTGACCAGAGGTTTTACGTAAACATATGGGATAAATTTCACAGAAACTTTTGAACCTGTGGCGAAGTTGAATACTGTTTGAATACTCCTAAGTTTGGCTGTAAATTGCGATTGGCAATTACACCAACTTGATGTAAAAAACGCTTTTCTTAATGGACAGCTAGAAGAAGAAGTCTATATGAAAATGCCACCTGGCTTACAGTTTGCTGAAGGTAGCAACAAGGTTTGCAAGCTCAACAAGTCTCTATACGGTTAAAACAATCACCCAGAGCTTGGTTCGAGAGGTTTACTAAAGTCATCCTAAAAAACGGCTATAAGCAGTCCCTCGCCGATCATACTCTTTTCATCAAGGTAACCTCTACAAATAAGAAAGCTATCCTTATTGTGTACGTGGACGACATAATTCTTACCGGAGATGATGAAGAAGAGATTTGCAATTTGAAGAAGTTGTTAAATAAGGAATTTGAAACCAAGGACTTGGGAAAACTAAGGTATTTCCTAAGAATGGAGGTGGCAAGGTCAAAAGAAGGACTTGTGATCAACCAAAGAAAATATGTACTTGATTTACTCAAAGAAACTATTTTTCTTGGTTGTAAGCTAAATGATACACCAATGGAGGCAAGCTTGAAATTTAACAAAGAAGACGGGTCCTTAGTAAACAAAGAGAAATTTCAAAGATTAGTTGGGAAACTAATTTATTTATCCTTGACAAGGCCAGATATAGCATTTCACGTAAATGTGATAAGTCAACACATGACTAATCCTACTGAAGAGCATATGGCAACAACAAATAGAATTCTCAAGTACTTGAAGAAAACTCCAGGACACGGTTTAATGTTTAAGAAGACACAAGACATAACTGTTAAGATATTTACCTAGTTGGGCCGGAGACCTTACTGAAATGAGATCCACTAGTGGCTACTGCACCTTTGTTTGGGGAAACCTTACAACTTGGAGAAGTAAGAAACAATATGTCGTTTCAAGAAGTAGTGCTAAAGCTGAATTCAGAGCACTAGCATTGGGAATATGCGAAGGAATTTGGCTACTTAAACTACTGAAAGAACTTGTCACTAATCAAGAGGATCACTTTGAAGTTTTGTGTGATAATCAATCTGCTATTCAAATTGCCAAGAATCCAGCTCAACATGATCGGACAAAGCATGCTGAGATTGATAGGCATTTTATTGTTGATCAAGTTAACAAAAAGACAACCACACTTTCATACATTCCTTCAGAAGAACAAGTTGCAGACATTCTTACTTAGGCTTTGCCAAAGCCTGTTTTCAATAAATTCCTATTCAAGCTGGGATTATACAATGTATATTCTCCAGCTTGAGGGGGAGTGTAGGAATTATAGAGATATGATTTGTTATGATTTGATTTCATTTCTTTAGTTAAGGGATTCTGTAAATATATTTATACAATCCCTTATTTTAAGGGATCACATCCTAGGATTAGTATCTTTCCTTAAGTGTTTCATACTTTAAAGAGAGAATTTGTATATAAAGATGTAATCTGTCCTATTGAAAATAATAAGATTACAGAGAATTACTCTGATTTCTACATCCCAAAATATTCTTTTTCAGTAAAAGATGTTTTTCGATTCAAGATTCAGGGAGTTAGGTGAACCGATTAAGGTTTTAGGTGAATTAGTTGAAGTCTTAGTTTTCTAGAAAAATATTCCAATAATTTCTTATGGAGTTGTGTGGCTGATATGGAATATGATGTTGGAAGACAATGGTAATTAGAAGCTTCTATAAAATTAGCTTTTCTCTGTGTCTCAGATGAGGAGAAACAACATGATAACCTATTCTATCATTATCATTGACCAAAGAAGCTTTTGTCTTTTAGTTGCTTGTTTTAGCTGGGGAAAGAAGTTATAGTCCCATTAGTTTAGCTAGGAAGATTTTTGTCAGTAACCTAACCTCTGAACCATGGAAACTCCCCAAAAATTGAACCAGCATGAATTGCTTTATGCTCTATGACATTGTGCTGATGCTGGTTCTTGTCAAATGTTTATTTAGATGAGTGTCTGGAATTCCATGGCACCTCTTAAGATCTTTCTTTGGAAGCTTCTTGGAACTTTTTCTTCAGGAGGTTTAAATTAATTGAGATGGCATAGGGTATCTATGCCTTTATTTATTTTTTTAATTTTGAAAAGGATCTGGTGAAAGAGTGGTCAATGTTTTATTGTTGGGTTGCTGACATGTTGTGGTCTGTGTTATGTTCCTACTCTTTTTATTTTATTTTATTTGCTGACTACAACTCATCTGATGGCTGAGTTGCCCTGCTAGAAGATGATAGGGAGATTATCTTGTTGGTCCGTTAAATTACTTGTCGAAGATTCAGATGTAAAATGGAGGAGAAGATTATGTTCCTGATTTCAAATTTGTGCCGTTGAAGATCGAATTACCTAGCTAAAAGATTGAAGATTCAACCTTAATTTTTTTTTAAATGTTTCCTTTTGTAGGGCCAGTTATGTCCAAGTTCATCAATGCCTTTCGTGAGCTTGCTAGCTATAAGGAGTTGCTTTGTTCACAAGTGGGTATCGATTTTCCATCTACAAAAAGCCCTTGTTTCTTATACCAATGAATAAGACTGGGATACATAGTCTTTGTCTTATTAATTCTTATTACAAATGTATCTGGTTTGTTACCAACGTTTTACTTAATGTTATTTTCCTTTGGAAACATTCAAGTTTCCTTTTTATTTGACTTGATTGAGCATGATTACATAGTGTTGGTGCCTCAGGTATATACATAGATATCCAAGGACTGATATGCTTGTATATATTTTTAACTTTTAAGTCGTTTGATCTTATAAACCATTCATGAAATATTTGTTAATGATATTACATAGGAAACTTTTGTGTCTGATGTCATAGTCACTACATTTACTCCCAAGTTTTGTATGAAAGACATACGTAATCAAAATATAAGCTTCTAGATGATTGATATCATGTACCTTTAAAATTTGCGTTCGAAAAGGTCGCCTATATAAGGTATCAACTCCTTTAACTGAATTTTAATGTGGAAATAAGCTGACATGTGATAAAAATAAGGACCTTTGCCTAAGTGCACTTATGTATGGTACCTTTCCCTTATTACAGTCTTACGAAACATATTTTCTACCAAAAATAGATTCAACTGATCAGATTGTAGTGGCTCTAAAAAGGATTTAACATGTTAATTTCTACATAGGTAACTACTTTATAAATTCTTCATTTGCAGTCTGATGTCTTTGTGTCAATTTGGTTAGGTTAACTTGCTCTTTAATATAGTAGTATTACTGAGCATTGAATATGTTATGCATGAATGCTAACAATCTTGAGGTCACTTGCAGCATAACCGCAGACAAGCAAAATTTTAGTTTAAAACACTTCTTATATCAGAGAGACAATATTAACATTTACATCATGCCATTGGGAAGCTCATTTTTGTTTCAGAATTTGAATAATCCGTTACAGGTGGAGCATGTTTTAATTGATCGGCTAATGCACTTTACAACTGTTGATTTGCAAGATGCAAAGGTGAAGATAATTCAGTCACTATCTCTTTTTTCTTTCTTTCTTTCTAATTTTGGTGCTTTTAATAATCAATTTGGAATTGAAGTTGTTATTAACTTGCCACATTTCCATAGTCCGAGTCACGGAGATTAACTTGATTACTCCTTGTTTAGATTTTGCATTGAAAATTGGGCGTGCTTGCACCAGGAGTTCTCAATGATTGCCTCACTTTCCTTGGGTTTTCTTGTGAATCTTTAAATTTGATCTAGGTATATTGTATGACATCAATTTGATCATCCATTTGGAACTGAACCTTAGATGCGTTTGTTTCATTGGTGTGTATCTTTAAATTTGATCTCGGTACATTGTATGACAACAATTTGGTCATCCTTTTGGAACTGAAAATTGGATGTGCTTGTTTCCTTGGGATGCAATGATTGCCACACTTTCCTTGGGGTTTTCTTGTGAAACTTTAAATGTGAATCTTCAAATTTGAATCTAATTTTGGTAATTTAAGTTGTTATTAACTTGCCACATTTCCATATAAAGACGAAAAAACTTGTTCCGAATAAATCGTGTTTATTTCTGCTGAATATGGCTGACTTAAATAGAGTTTAAAATGTAACAACTTTACATAAAAAGATGAATAAAATTAGCAACAAAATAAAAATGATTCTATCTAATTAAAAATGATCCTATCTAATAACTAATAGAATAAAAAACTGATTCTATCTAATTAAAAATGATTCTATCTAATAACTAATAGAATAAAAACTGATTCTATCTAATTAAAACTGATCCTATCTAATATTTAATTTATATATTCTCGACACTCCCCCTCAAGCTGGAGAATAGATATCGATCATTCCCAGCTTGGACAGAAATCCTTCGAACATCGTAGTAAACAGTCCCTTGGTGAGAACATCGGCGAGCTGCTCTGATGATGGAACAAACGGTATGCATATATCGCCATTTTCTAGCCTCTCCTTGATGAAATGTCGATCTATTTCGACATGTTTGGTCCTGTCATGCTGTACAAGATTCTGAGCAATACTGATTGCCGATTTGTTGTCGCAATACAACTTCATCGGTTTATCTCTTTCAACCTTCAGCTCCTCCAAGATCCTCCTAAGCCATAACAACTCACATACTCTTTACGCCATGGCTCTGAACTCGGCCTCCGCACTGCTTCTAGAGACAACTGGTTGCTTCTTGCTCCTCCAAGTAACTAAGTTGCCCCAGACAAAGGAGCAATAACCGGTAGTAGATCTTCTGTCTGTAGAACTTCCGCCCCAATCAGCATCAGTGAAGATCTCCACTCTTCGACTTCCATTCTTCAAAAACATGATTCCTTTACCAGGACTCCCTTTCAAGTAATGAAGAATCCGTTAAACAGCCTTGGAGTGTTTTTCTGAGGGACAATGCATAAACTGACTAACCAAGCTCACAGAAAATGCAATATCTGGTCTCGTATAAGCCAAATAAATCAGTTTCCCCACCAGCTTCTGATACGGATTCTTGTCCACAGGCTCAACACCATCTTCTTTTTTCGAGTTTTTGATTCGGATCAATAGGAGTCGCCACTGGTTTACATCCGAGTAATCCGGTCGCTTTCAAGATATCGAGGACATATTTTCTTTACGAGATAATTATACCTTTTGAGGATCTAGCCACCTCCATTCCAAGGAAATATTTGAGTTGTCCTAGATCCTTGACTTCAAACTGGTTGGATAAGAAGTTCTTCAACGACTCTAACTCTACTGTGTCATCTCCTGTCATAACAATGTCATCTACATACACAATTAAATTAGCAATTTTACCATTATTGTGTTTGTAGAACATAGTATGATCAGACTGGGCCTGAGTGTAACCATGTTGTTTCACAGCTCTCGTGAATCTCTCGAACCAGGCTCTCGGAGATTGTTTCAATCCATAAATGGATTTCTTTAGCTTGTAGACCCTTCCATCCTTCTTCAATTCATCAAAGCCTGGAGGAACTTCCATAAACACCTCTTCCTCTAGCTCACCATTTAGGAATGCATTCTTCACATCAAACTGTCTGATAGTCCAATCCAGATTGGCGGCTAGTGAGAGTAGGACACGTACGGTGTTTAGTTTGGCCACAGGTACGAAGGTCCTCCTCGTAGTCAAGGCCGTATGTCTGAGTGAAGCCTCGTGCTATGAGTCTTGCCTTGTATCTCTCGATCTAGCCATCTGCATGGTATTTGATGGTGAACACCCACTTGCTGCCTACAGATTGTTTCCCCTCAGGTAAAGGAGTTAGATCCCACGTGTCATTCTTCTTCAGGGCCTTTAACTCCTCAAAAACGGCCTCTCTCCATCTCGGAACTTCTAGAGCTTCATGTATCGACTTAGGTAGTGCATCATCCATAATCCTGGTGGAAAAGCTTTGAAATCTGGAGAGAGTTTATTATAAGATAAGAAATTGGATATTGGATGTTTTGTGGTACATGATCTAACACCTTTGCGCAAGGCTATGGGTTCAAAGAATTCTGTAGAAGGCTCTAAATTTGGAGAAGAAATAGGAGAAAGAGAAGTCGTACCTTGGACCATAGTCGAGTCCGATGGTTGGCATACCTTGGGGACCGGTGGAGCATTACTTGGTCGAGTCATCCGTCTAGAATAAACATGAAGTTCAGTAGGTGGTTCCAAGTTGGTTTCTACCTGAGTCTCACGAGGTTGTGAATTTATAGGTTGTGAAATCCTAGGATTAGTTACGGAAATATGAATTGGTTCCACTGAGCTATTTACAACCGATTTTGGTAAGGATGTTTGTTCCCAAAAACTCATTTCAGAGTCATTCTCCCCCGGAAGAGAGTTTTTGTCAAAAAAAGGTTTTTTTTCAAAAAACGTGACATCCATACTCACATAATACTTCCCAGATTTAGGATCAAAGCATTTATACCCTTTTTGTGTTGGTGAAAAACCTAGAAATATGCTTTATGTGCTCGGGGATCGAGTTTTCCTCTATTTGGCCGTGTATATGAACAAAAGCAATGCAACCAAAAATTTTAGGTGTTAAATCAGTGAAAGATCTATTTTCAGGAAACATATTCTTTAGAGCTTGCAAAGGAGTAATATAATTAAGAACTCTTGTAGGAATTCGATTTATCAAATAAGACGCTGTTAAGAGTGCTTCATTCCAAAAACGATTAGGAACATTCATAGCAAACAGTAAAGCCCTAGTCACATCTAATAAATGCCTATTTTTTCTTTTAGCAACTCCATTTTGTTGGGGAGTATCAACGCAAGAACTGTGATAAATAATTCCTTTTTGTTTCAAAAAATCACCTAAGATTGCATTAAAATATTCTCGACCATTATCAATTCTAAGAACTTGAATATTTGCTTGAAACTGAGTATTGATCAGTGAGTGAAAATTTTTGAAAACACTTGCTGCCTCGGATTTTTCTTTTAGTAAATAAATCCACGTGACTCTAGTGTGATCATCAATGAATGTGATGAACCATCTAGATCCTGAGGCTGTTTTTACTCGTGAAGGGCCCCAAATATCACTATGCACAAGAGAAAAAGGTTTTGATGGCATATACTTTAAAGATGGATAACAATCTATGATGTTTTGCCAATTCACAAGCTTCACACTGAAAAGAAAAACCGTCCTTTTTTTGAAAAGATTTGGAAACAAATATTTCAAGTAATTAAAACTAGGATGGCCTAACCTATAATGCCACATTATTTCATTCTCACAAGACAAGGTAGTAAAGCATCTCGGTTTCTGAACTTGTTTATCTGAAGGATTATCCGTGACCAAGTGATAGAGTCCATCAACCTCCTTAGCATTGCCAATCATCTTCCCCGAACAAGGGTCCTGAAATTCAAATCCAGCAAATGTTATTGTAGCAATGCGTTTGCAATCATGAATAATAAGATTAACAGAGATGAGATTGCAAGAGAGCTTTGGGACATGTAGGACATTTAGTAATGTGAGAGATGGAGAAATAATGATAGAGCCTTTTCCAGCTATAGAGGTTAGGGAGCCATCATCAATTTTTACCTTCAGATTACCAGATAAAGGAAAATAAGATGAGAATATGGAGGAATTACCGGTCATGTGATCTGTTGCCCCTGAATCTATGATCAAGGGTTTGATTTAGAACTGGCTATGAAAGCTGTAGGATATGTACATTTCTGGGCTAATGATGAAGAGGCAATATAAGATGATGGGTTAGGAGTGTTGGATATGGAATGAGAACTCATTAGTTGATACAATTGCTCTAGCTATTCTTTGCTGAAGGCAGACAGTTCTGAGGCAGGTTTCGGCTCTTCAGAAGCATCTTCAGATGAGGCATGGAATCCCTTTGCATTACGAGAATTTCGATTGGCTGAAAAATTCTCGGCTGGCTTCCCGTGTAGCTTCCAACACTTGGCTTTAGTGTGTCCCGGCTTGTTGCAGTGCTCGCAGATTGGCCGATCTCTGTCGTTCCTACGATCATTGCGACGTGGTGGCTAACCCGAGAACAAGGCAGAAGACTCTGTGGGATTTGGTGAGTGGCCTCCAAGCATGACCGTTCGCCGGCTCTCCTCTCGTCTGACTTCGGAGAAGACTTCTCTTGTGCTTGGTAGTGGTTCAGACCAAGAATGCGCCCTCTGACTTCATGCAATTCCTTGTTAAGGCCGACATTCGAGACGCGTTCTTTCCACCATCTTCTGGAATAGAGCCCTGTCCTAGCATAACGTAGTCGTGAACATGTCAACCTCTTGCCACAAGGTCTCGAGTTCAGTGTAGTATTGACAGTTTTTCTCCTTGTTTTAGCCTCCATAACCGAGTTTTTAGTTCAAACAATTGTCCTGCGTTCCCGAGATCAGAATAAGTCTCGTTCACAGCATTCCAAATGTCATGAGCAGTAGGTAAGAAGAGATAAGTTCTCCCTACACTCAGATCCATGGAATTTATGAGCCAAGCCATAATCATCGAGTTTTCTGCCTCCCATCTTTTAGATTCTTCATCTTCTTCGGCAGGTTTCGTAGTGGTACCTGAGAGATAGCGAATTTTCCA